GTCTCAGTGCTGTCTCATGGTCTCCCCACAATCACATACAGTGCCAGTAAAGACAACTGGAGATATATGACTGGTTACAACAAACTGGTGGGAGGAATACCCTGAAACCAGTCAGCAGAAGCTGCTCTTCTCTGAAAGAAATCAAAAATTCCATACCCATCCCACACACAAACCAACTTTGTTTCTTAAAAACAGATGGATCATCTTTATTCCATTTTATACTGAAAAACRGGAGTATGATGAAAGAATAAGCAAGATTTGACAAGCCACAGAAACCACTTTTAAGCTATTAATAAAGTTAAATTAAATAGGATCTCTGATAATATTGACTTTAKTTTCCTTTGAGTTGCTACCTTCATGATCAGTTTACCAGGGCATACATTCAGACACACTGCCTGAGTTACCTGAAAAAAAGTTTTAGGCAGGCTAAAAAAGAAAAAACAAAAATGACCACCCAAAATTAATCAGCCAGAGAAAAACCACATTCTTCTCAAAGTAAGTGTTTATGCGTTTACCTTGACATAACCAAGGATCCAAAAATAGTCACACAATATAAAATCACTTGTGTCTTGAGCTGTTAGTTTAACTGCTTACATGCTGAGCCTTCTAACAAGAGTCATGTACTGTTGTTAACCTTGGGAATAATACAACATGAAAACCCACTTAGAATTTAACTACTTCAAATCTTAGAACATTTAACCAAAGCCATTTAAGAAAAACTGACTTGTTTTTAAAATGAGTAAAACAAGAACACCCTTGTGAGCTTTTGAAAAGAAATGATCCACCGATTTTTTTTAGTGAGTATCCTTTACAAGCAAGCAAAGATCATGCAGTAGTAAAAGAACAAAGCAAGTTGATTTTGACGTCAATAAGCTTAACATGTGGACCACAATATACTTGCCTTTTTGCCTCTCTTTTTTTGCAAGTAACTTCACCAGGCAAATKAATCTTCCCACATCATTCAACAGTTTATTGAGACAAGATGTCTCAAACCAGAGAATTAGGGCTCATGACAGTGACTAAACAGTTCATCCAATAAATAATGTTTTAATCTAGTCCCATTCCAAACTGTTAATATACTACACACAGCACGTCTCATCCTTTATCCAAAACATGATGTAGCACCAMTGAGTAATTTTATGGTAAAACACCAGTTTCATAGAGGGTGTTGCCTTGGAATACAACATAAGATTTTTTTTTTTAAATTTAAATTCAGGGAAACTGAACAGAAGGTCTGCAGAATACAAAGAAGTTGCATTTTTATCAAGGAAAAAATGGTTGAAGGGAATTTGTCCCCAGTATATTGGAAATTTATTTTGCATTTTCCACACAAGCTTTTAACAATCCAATTACAAGCAGTAAATAAAACTTACTTCTCAGCCCAGTATATCAAATCTCATGATTCCTCATGATAAAGAGGACTAGATTTCTTAGATTTTCAAACAACTCAGCACAGGCCAAATACACTTCAGCTAAYGCGTGGGTATTTTTATAAAGTTTCATTATGGTTTTTGAAACAAAAGGAACAGAAGTCCAGAATACACAACAGAGACAAGAAGTAAAGCAGCTTCTAAAGTCATCCTTTCATATTAGGGCTAAAATTGCAAAACTTTTCCTTCTGTGATAATTGTCTCACATTGAATACCTAGTCTCTAGCTAAGACTGCAAACACTCTGGATTACTGAGTTTATAAGGTTTGTTGGTCTAAGGATGAAAGTAGAATGCAGGGTCATGTACCTTTTACTAAACTTGCTAAACCAGTGGGCATATGTGAGGGTATGAAGGGGCAGCAATATTATATACGAGGCTTCTTAAAACTAGATTAACCACATCACCCTGGCACTCTGCCCAAGTCAGAGCACTGTCATTTGTTACTGTATTCTGCAGCACAATTTCATTTTTACTTTGGATTAAGTTTTTAAACATAGAATTCTCTTGCAATAGAACTCATTTAATTTCTRTGGAAAAGGCACCTTTCCTCCAAGAATTTTCTCACCTATAACACAGGGTTGCAGGATTCCTAACTTCATGTTTATATAGTTTAATTTCTTCTACAGTACAAGAGCAAAGTGCTGGTAACAGCGTAAACTTTTCCCCAAAAAATCTTGGACTATTCAGCCTCAACACAGTCATTATTGWGCAGTTGTGCCATGAAACTTAAATTGCATCCTTACTTTCTGAAATGTCCCTGGGACCAAATTTGTAATGTTTTAATATGCTATGTGTTTCACCTCACCTTTTAAATCAATTCAGTAGAAAATCTGGAGATTATGAAATTTCAGCCTCCAGAAACATGTCTTACCCTTCAGAATGAAAATATTTCAACACGCTTGGAAATATAATGGTCTGGGTACAAGCAAATACAAGGGCTGGGGAGGGGTGGGGAAGGAAAAATAAACCTAAGTGCACTAATTTCATTAAGCATTAATTGCTCTCTGTAACATATCCKCAAGCACACACAGAGTTAAGAATGCACACCATGAAAGTGAGGCCAAATACCCAACAGCTTAAGTTAACCAATCAAATAATTAGAGGTCCAAAACAGGTTTAATACTGAAATCACTTACAAGCGGGGTTTGTAAAGGAGTAGTAACACTGATATGTAGCAATCTAGCCTTGYTCCAAGCAGCTCCCTTTGACCATAATATGCAATAAAACTTGACAAGTTTTGTCTGTAGCAGGGTCAAAGCACCTTAAGATCAAACATGGACTTAAGAATTAATTTAATGCTACAACATACTTTGGTTCTGGTTGTGGGTTCCCTACTCTGCCCCCTCCCTCAACCTCGTTTTCCTCCAGACACTGGGTTTATTTCAGAYTCGTGGTCAAATAATGAAATGCCCAACCAGAAAAAGTACCCAAAAAGCCATACAAGAAAAAGGATTCAATCCTCTAAGAGAAGACGAATGATATACAGAGCATATTTCTTTAATTGCTTGATGATGAAACAGCAGTTTGCAGTATTCTTTAAACACAGCTTTTAAGTTCAACTTCRAAAGGAGAAGCCAAATGGGATAAAACAGCTTCTTTCAGTTGAGGAAAACAGCAAATAGATTGTTTACAAATAATGTCTGTAAAGCACAAAACACTGTATTTGGAAATTGAAACTTTCAAATACAAAACTGAAAYGTTCAAAGAAGTTTACAGGACATACTTAGTACATTCTGACATTTTACTGATGAATACCTGCATTTGTGAGTAACTGGAAGCAATAAAAGTGTTTCAACAAATGTGAAACCCAAGTACATTTTTATCACCAGATTTTAATTTTGGTTTAATTTTTAGAAGTAGGAGGATACATGCTGAATCAGTTAGAATTCAAAGGTCTGCCTAGTATGAATTTAAAAACTTGAATTAAGAATATATATTTTAAATCCCATATACAGGATAACTGAGTATTTCAAATTGGAAAAAGCTGTTCCAGTTTTCCATTGTGGTAAGAGAGCACATCATGCATTTTAAATACATATAGAAGTTTTTCATACTCTTAATAACATTCTATGTTCTTAAAATGTTGTAGTCAACTTCTTATCCAGGCCACTATAAAGAACACCACAGTCATAGTCTATACTTCTCTAGCCACAGTAATGGGATAGCAGCAAATTATAGTAAAATCTAGTGTTACATTTAGCTGTACAACACTACTAATTAGARAGTAATTTCAACAATAAATATTTGGTTAAAGTCTGCTTTGTCATCAGTGCAAGCAATTTCAGATGAAACTGATCTTTCAGAGAGTCTATGCCTTTTTTTTTTTTAGTCTATTTTTATTTTCTGGTTATTGAACATCTTTTCCTACAGAACAGYTCTCCAGAGCTACTGCTCTGCAAACAGAAAACCACACAGACAATGTTAAAAGTAAAAGGGAAGATTCAAACGTAGTGGACCACGACAATCCACAGTTGTCTTTAAACTGTCCTTAGCTAACCCCACTTTACTATTCAATGGCAAGATCTTGTAACAATGACCTTACAGAGCACAGAGGCTGCATGACTTAGGTAAGCTGTAAGACAGGCTTTATCACGCCCTTCAGAAAGAATACAGAAGGACTAACCGAGACAAATATGAGCASCATGGTAGATACAATATCAAGTACAACACCCAGTTAACCCTCTAGACACTGACAAAAGTCACCAGTTTTAAAAGAGGATCTTCCTGCAAGTTGCCTTCCCAAGAAGAGTCATGCTACTATTAATTAAAGCACTGCAGAGATGAACAGTACTAGTACCTTATCCTCTTTAGAAAAGAAATAAATCCAACCAAAGAAACACAAAAGCAAAATACTACTACCTGCTTCTGAGAATCTGCAGAGCCAATCAGTTTTTACACAAGAGGCCAACTTCACTCAAGTCAAACCTTCAATGCATCCCATATTTAGTGCAGTCATGAAACATATGCCGTCAAAGGAGGCTGTGATGTGCAGAGCAAAGGGTCGGCATCTGACATTCTCCTTTACAACACCAACTCCCAGAGCTGCCATAATGCAACAGTGTTTGTATAGCACCACTAAAACRTCAGACACTACTGCAACTGAAACAAACCTTTTTTCCCCCTAAGTCTGTAAAAATAAGTAAACCTGCATTCTTGCTGAGCTGTCCCACCTGCAGTACACACAAGTCTATAATCTCATACTACATATGCAACTTACTCTCCTCATTTCACCAGCCAAACAGAACAGCTATTTTTGGATTACCCAATAGTAATGAATCAATATTCTGTTGATATGGCCTTCACCTAGTCTGTAAATCTTTACAAAACGCTCAGAGGTAAGGTGAATTAAAATTACCTTCACAAACTTCTTAAGTAGAAGTCCAAATAGTTAGTATATCATGAAGACGTTCTTTCCTATGCAATATTACAAAACTGACAATTCAAGTCATGGAAATTTATCTCATCAACAGCCAAAATAACTGAGAAGTTAAAACAGAACACAGAATTTTTCCTATTTAGAAAATTCATACAGTGAATGTTCTGATCTAAAAAAATAAATCACAAATTACCTTTCACTCCAGTAGGAATCTTGAAGATTTGTAGAGTGCAATCAACTATGACAACTGGATAACAGCTCAATATCTTCCTTACCTGAAAGGGAGTAATTCAGAGTCAAATTACACCAAAAAAACTATCCTACTGAATAAATTAGAAAACCAGATAAGTGAAATTGAACTGTGCTAAAGTGATAAGCATTTTTAAAATGTGAACACCCTTACAAATAGGAAGAGAAAAAACCCTACACTGARTCATTTAACTTTGATTTTGTGTCTTAAAAAACAGAAGTGTGGCAGTTTATTATWAAGTCTAACACTCTTAGAGTTAAAAGTAGTCTGCTTTCAAATCAGAAGGCCAGAAATAACCCCTTATGATSCAGTCTGACTTCTTGTATAGCCCAGGCTACAACAATCACACGCTTTCACATCCCCTTTTCTTGCTCCCATCCTCTTTCTTCTGTCCAGCCATTGTGTGAGTATACAATAAACAGTTTTCCAACACTTTTCTTTGAGTTAATTTTGTTTGTAATGAGGAAGACAGCCCACATGCCCTCTTCTMAGTCCCTTCTACTTAAGACCAGTTCCAGAAGGAAACCACACTTTGACTTACTACATCTTCCTCAGGAAAGCATTCAATCTTGCTTTAGAAATATCTAATGGCAAATATGTTACACACTACAATGTTTAATAAAATTACTTTTAACCTACTGAAATTTACACACAGCAAAATGTAGAAAACTTCCTCTCTCAATAATTACAGTAATGCTACACATTACAGACAGCTATTAAAAATGTAAAACATTTAGATCCTTTTTCTGCCAGCAAATACCTTCATAGCTCTCATCCATGTTACAGGTACACCTATCATCATTTCATTTTATTTTGCTGCCTCCTGTTTTAATGCTTAAATAGATCAATCTTCTGTACTGAAACATGCTTCCCAGATTAACGCCCAAAGTAAACACCAGTTCAGAAAGGAACTCCACAAGCAACAACTACAAAAAAGGGGTTTTGCCTTGTCACATATTTTAAGTATTGCTTATAGATGTAGTTTCATTTTTTGAACATTGACTTCAAAAACATAAGTCCAAATTATTTATCACAACCCATATTACCTTGTTTACATGTCTGTACTTTCCCCGAACACTTTTCTACTCTCCACCTATGACCCACATTCTTCATCTTCAAAGGCATGACTTGGGAGCTGGTCCCATGAAAATTGAATATTCTGCCTATATCCCAACTCACAAACTGATTCAGATCATGTTGACTACAAGACGAAATGCAATTATTCTTCAGGTTACCCTCTCTAAATAAACAGGAGCTCTTTACTGTTATCGCTGAAACCTCTTTAAGATATCAAGAAGCCAAACTAGCCTCAGAGTGCTACCTTTGTTTGCTTCTTGAATTTAAAAATTTCTTATAAATTGACTGCCGTTCCTGGAAAATTATCAAAGTACAAGGGGAACAAAAGGACTTTTTCCAAATGAATGAAGCCTGGAAGCTTATTCCACAAAGCCCTGGATGTTAAGAAGTTTGAACTCCCCCTCTTCTCCACTATCGACATTTGTGCAGAGAGAATATGTGTATTTTTGAAAGTCTTGTCTAGGACATTTAAATGATATTTTTACAATGAAAGCTCATCTGCCACAGGCAYAAACTGTTGATAGAAACTTCGAGATCCATAAGCTCTGAAAATGCTGAAGGGTAGGTCATTTTCTAAACCCTAAGGTAATGAAACCCTCATTCAGCAGAATGTTGCAATTTAAGCAAGAGAAAGAAGCTCAACTTCCCACCAAGAGGTCAAGACCAGACAGAAAGCAGCATGGCCAGCAGAAATGGAAACTTGTAAAGGAGGAGAGCAGCAGCTGAAGCAGAATACTTCTCTGAATACTCTCCCAGAGCTACTCCTGCATAACCCAGGGTGCCACAAAACTGCTTCTGTTCTCTAACTGGTTGGCTCTATAGCTTAGGGACTCAATTTTTCTGCTGTTCAAAACAGCATGACACCAAAGGATGCAGTTTTCCTTTCAGTCTGTCTTAAAGAAGCATTTTCTCATTTCARTCTCTGCAGGACTGGACATACGCAAGCTTATGAGAATTTGCTGAATGCTAAGTTTGGTAGAACCACGCTTGTTGCATTTCTTTAACACTCTGGAAGCACCCATGATAGCAGACAGAAAAGGAGGCCGTAAAGCTAAGTAGATCAATACATGTGCTTTAAAATATAGATGATATAATTTTAATTAAAAATGGGTCTTGGATAGCTTCACGAGAAGTAAAAAAAACATACCAATCCAGCTTCTTGCTAGTTATTCCTGGAATCAAAGCACCTTAACCTATGTCTACTGTAGCTGGCTATTACTTGTTCTCTGACAGTGATTTGTTTCAGAAGGTGAAAATCACAATCATTAAGCTGACAAACCCTCAAAGCAACTCTCTTTATGTCAATCAGCCATCCTTCTAGTCCTACACATGTTTGCACAACACTATTAACATCAAAACGGATTAAGTTCAACTCAGTGGAATCTTTACCTGTGGAAAAATGCTGCACTAAAAAATGTTATCACAGTGTTAATAGCTCTTTTGAATGTATTCAGACTTCAGAGTACTGTAATCAAAGCCTTACAAAAGAACAATAATAGGAAAAGAACTTTGGACCTAAATTTATAAATAACAAATCTTTTTTTTAAAGATCACAGTGCATAATGATCAGAGGCCAGGTCATYACATCTTGAAAGGGGTACGACCTTATTTTGAAACAGTAGAAACAGACCGTATGAGAAGATTCTACATTTATTTTTACCCTAATCCTGAAGAGAAGGGAAATTAGGATGTAAAGTTCTYCTCAATTTCACCCCCTACATTGTAATTCTGCATCAACAGCCTCAGTGCGGGGGCCTATTTAGCTCACTTTTCTGCAGTTGCTAACTTACAGCTGAAGAAAGGAACAACCCAAGATGCAAACAGATGAAGTTATCAGCAGGAGAGGAGTGGTGCTCCGGGAGGAAATAAATTAGGAAACCGCCTCTCCTCGCGCAGCACTCACGCGACGGGTAGGGGAAAGGCATGGGGAGAGGTTTTCGGGGAAAAACACCCCTCTCTTTCTGGCCCCACAGCAGAGGCGGGTGATTCAATTCCGCGGTAGATGCGGGCATGGCCRTGACAGCGGGAGTCGGCGCAGCGCCGGCCGGGGTGCCCCGAGCTGCGGGTCCCGGAGGCGGTGGGCGCGGCAGTGCCCGCACCSGCAGCCTACGAGAGAGATTTGGAACCGAGCGGCGAGCAGCAGCCCCGCACGGCTCGCCTTGCTGGGACCAGCGCTCAAGGCTGCGGGAAAAGGAGGGAGGGAGGAGCCAGCTCCCCCAGCGCTGCGCGCCCCGGGCGGAGGGGCTGCGGCTCGGAGCCGCTCGCCCCCGCCACCTCCGGGCGCCGCGGCGGACGCGCGTCCTCGGGGCCGCTGCCGCCCCCTGCCGGCCCCGGCGCTGACAGCCCCCGTCCGCCCGCCCCGCCACCGCCGCTCGGGGCCGAAAGAGGAGGGAAGGAAAAAGGGAGGGGGCGGCTCTGCCCGATCAGCCCGGCCTGCCCCGCCCGCAGTCTCCGCATCCCGCGGCAAGCGGAGCGGACCRGGGAAAAAGGCGACGGATATGGGGCAAAGCGGCCCCCAGCGCACGGCTAGTCCCCCGCAGCGCTATGGTTGCTCGGCCCCCTCCTCCCCGCCATCCCCCGCTCCCCACTGCCGGCGCAAGCCGCGCTCCGTCGGGACCGCTCCCGCTCCGCTCCCGCCGATACCTGCCGCCCGAACGGCCGCCGGCGCTCGCACGCTCCCGAAGTTCCCGGCCGCGGCCGTCAGCCCAGCCCGGGAGAAAACCCCG